TGACCACGGAAAAATGAATTCAACTTTGTTGGCCTCAGTTTCCTCATATACAAAATGAGAATAGTACCTATGGAATATTGTGACCGTAAAATAAATTTAAAAATTAAATTGCTTAGCCGGGCATGGTGGCTTACTTCTGTAATCCCAGTGCTTTAGGAGCCTAATGGTGTAAGGATCGCCTGAGCCCAGGATGTCGAGGTTACAGTGAACTGTGATGGTGCCACTGCACTCCAGCCTCAGTGACAATGAGACGCTGTCACTGAAAAATAAATATATGAAGTGATTACAGTGCCTAGAACAGGGTCTCGAATATGGTCAGCTCCATTTAAATATTTGCCGCTGGTACGAGGACTGCTGCTAATTCTGGCTGTCCAGGTGTGTAATGCGGTGGTGTAAAAGCAAAATGACAGGAGTTTTTTTTTTTTTTTATTGTTTTAGAAGTGAGGCAGATGCCGAAGATTGGGGCAGGAAGTAGGAAGAGTCCTCTGATAGAGGAGAAACGGGGAGTAAGGAGTGGTAGGGAGACATGTTTCTGAGACGTGTTTCAGACTGATTCTACAGGAAGGATTTAACTCTTTATTCTCTCTTTGTAATCCTGCTCAACCCCTTTTATAGCTTTTATACTACATACCTTTTCACAGAAACACAAACCAACTGCCTTCTTATCCTGTATTTTTTGAGCACTGATCATTTGCTAGGAACTAGCTAAGTGCTTTATAAGGATCGTCTCATTCAATCTTCACACAACCCCCTGGGATTCTAACTTCTGAGAGTTTTTTTTTTTTTTTTTTTTTTTTGCTTCCCCCACCCTTCACTTCTGAGAGTTCTTAGTTCTTACCCTCTGGGATGGGTAGTATGGTTATCCATACTTCACAGATGAGGAAGCAAGCATAGAGAGGTGAAACGACTTTACTAATTTGTACCTAAAGTGGCAATGTGCTAGTGTCAAAGATAACAGTTAATGAATTGATTGTAGCTACTTCTGTACCTTCATTTTATGAAAAGGAAACCTCCATATTCATGCTAATATTCCAGCAAGACTGATCTAAATTATGTACTGCACTATTTCATACTACAGTGCCTTTGTACGCTCTGGTCTTTCTGCCTCAAATACTTTTTTCCTAAGTTCCTATTCATCTACTATAGAATCTTTTCTCATCAACTCGAGCAGAAACTATCTCTTCTTTCTCCTTTGTGCTACCACTGGACAATGTATAACTGGGTCTTAGGCGTCTCCCACTGTATTGAAATTTATGTATTTTTAAAGTAGGAATCATGTCCCTTTCTTCCCCCATCCCCGACTTTGAATTCAATATTTGACACATGATAAAGACATGATAAAGTATATGGAACAGGGTGAGCAACCCCTTGCTTGCCCTTCTCTCTCCTCAGTCCCTTCTGCAAAGTCAGCTATTGTCAATGATTTTGTATGCATTTTTCTAGACTTTTTTTTTTTTTTTTTTGCGACGGAGTCTGGCTCTGTTGCCCAAGCTGGAGTGCAGTGGCACAATCTTGGCTCACTGCAACCTCTGTCTCCCAGGTTCAAGCAATTCTCCTGCCTCATCCTCCCGAGTAGCTGGGACTACAGGTGCATGCCACCATGCCTGGCTAATTTTTGTATTTTTAGTGGAGATGGGGTTTCACCATGTTGGGCGGGCTGATCTTGAACTCCTGACCTCAGATGATCCACCTGCCTTGGCCTCCCAAAGTGCTGGGATTACAGGGGTGAGCCACTGCAGGGGCTTTCTAGACATCTTTTAAAGCATTCTCTTTCTGTATTTATCTGCCTGTGCAAAGATCCTTTAATAAAATAAAAATTACATGTAAATTGTTTATATTATTATTTTAAAAATTAATAATGTTTTGAAGTTCTTTCTTTGCCCATGCGTTTGTCTTTGCTTATGTTGAGTTTGTGCTTAGAACTACTAAGGCTCTCTAATGTATGGATGTACCATAATGTATTTAACCTGTGTCCTCATTGATATTAACTTTTTCCACACTTTTCACACTAAATTCTATACTGAACAACTTTTTACATATAATATATACTTAAATGATAAATTTAAAGGATAGATTCCCCAGAAATGGACTTGTGGGTGAAATGTGATTAATTAAAATAAAAAAAATAATTTCAACTTTTTTTTTTAGACCCGGGGGTAAAGGTGCAGCTCAGTTATGTGGGTCCGTTGGGTGGTGCCGAAGTTTGGGATATGACTGATCCCATCACTCAGGTATCGAGCAGAGTATCCAATCGGTTTTCAACCCCTGTCTCCCTTCCTCCCTCTGCCAACGTTTAAAAGTTTGATAGATTTGTTGCTATATTACCTTCTGCCTAACATAGATACTTAATATAAATTCTGAGACTGTTTGCTTCTCTATTTACTTTGTCAACATATTATTTTAAAATATTTTTACATTTAGTTAATGTATTGGGCGAAAACATATGCATTTTTCTTACTACAGTGAGACTGTACTCTTTTAATATATTTATTTATTTATTTTTTGCTTTTTATTCTTTTTTTTTTTTTTTTTTTTTTTGAGATGGAGTTTTGCTCTTGTTACCCAGGCTGGAGTGCAATGGCGCGATCTCGGCTCACTGCAACCTCCGCCTCCTGGGTTCAGGCAATTCTCCTGCCTCGGCCTCCTGAGTAGCTGGGATTACAGGCGTGCATCACCACGCCCAGCTAATGTTTTGTATTTTTAGTAGAGACGGGGTTTCACCATGTTGACCAGGATGGTCTCGATCTCTTGACCTCATGATCCACCCGCCTCGGCCTCCCAAAGTGCTGGGATTACAGGCGTGAGCCACTGCGCCTGGGCCCCCCTTTCCCTTTTCTTACTAAATAATTTGCTTCTCAATAGAGCAGTAGCAGTTCAGGCAGAACAAGGCAGGAGTCTATGGCGGGGTGGCTGGGAGAACCGCAGTGGTCTGGACAGCGTGAGAGCTTTAACAGGGTGAGAAGGGTGGCTGTGCAGGCTGTTGGCTTGATGGTGGCGCTGGGCCCAAGCAGAGTGAGAAGAAGATCCCTGTGCATGTGGGGAAGTGTTCTGGCATGGAGGACCAGAGCCTGTGCAGGACAAGCAGATGTCCACTCCTGGCAATGGCCTGGTGCCGGGTATCAGAGGGTAAGAAGATTGAGGAGGGTATCTGCAGTGGGGGAAGCCTGATATGAGAGGTCAGAGCCTGAGAGGTGAAGAAGGCATCTATGTGGTGGGATAGTCAGGTGCAGTGAGTTGGAGCACAAACAGGGTGAGGAGGGCATCCATGCGTGAGGTGACCTTCTGTAGGGGGTCAGAGTCACAAATGAGTGAGCAGAGTACTCTATGGGGAGGCTCGTGTGGACGTCAGCATGTGGGAGGGGTGAGGAGGACGCTCTTACTCAGTGTTGGCCCAGTGGGGGTTGGAACTCAGCACTTCAGCAGGATGAAGGGAGGGCGCATCCTTGCAGAGGGTAGACCTGGGGTGGATTTCAGAGACCAAGCCTGAGAAGGAGGGTGTCAACATGCTGGGGTAGCCCAGTGAGGGAACTCACATCCTAAGTAGGGTGAGATGGGAATTACTGCTGGGGGATGCAGGAGCTTCACGGAGTGTCAGAGCTTAAGCAGGACGAAGAAAGCGTCTATGCAGAGGGTGGACTTGGTGTGGGTTTTAGAAACTTGGCAGGATAAGGAGGGGGTCCACGTGGTAGTGGAATTCAGACCCCTCCAGGGTGAGGGGGGCTTCCACCCACGGGGGTGACCTTGTGTGGAGGGTTAGAGCCTAAGGGGTTCTAAGTGGTGACTAGGGGACCAGCATCAGGAATCAGAGTGTGAGCGGAGTGAGGAGGGCGTTCCTGCAGAGAGTGGCCTAGCACCGGGAGTCAGAACCTTGACAGGGTGAGAAGGATGCTTGTGGGAGGATGTTCATGGGGGTGGGGAGTGGGCTGGCCCTTTGCCAGCACCCTCAAACAGAATGGGGGGGCATCAGCCAGGGAATGGTGGCTTGGAATGGGGAGTCAGAGCTCAACTAGGAAGAGAGGGGCATGTCAGCAGGAGGAAACTGACAGCCTCCGGGAGACTGATCAGATAAGGAATACGCGAAAGGCAGTGAAAGCAGGTTTCTTACTGTCACAGAAACGAGTTAGGAATGTGGAAAGGGAGAAAATTAGAATGAAACCTGTGGTGTTCGATTGGAATTAGAGGAATTCATGTGAGCTCGTGGTGTTCAACGTATTTAGATATAGACATAATACAGAGATATAGAGGTGTGTGTTTGTGTGTGTGCATGCATGTGTGCGCGTGTGTTATGCAGGAGAAGGAATTAGCTGGGAGGATTAAAAGGAGGATCATTTGTGGAGAGTTGAGGGCAGAGAATCCAGGTGTGAGTGGAGAGCGTATCTATGGAGAGATTCCACGTGAAGGATTTAATATGTTCAGTGTTTTCCTTTAGGCCTTTGGAAAAAGTCATATTTAGTACTTTAAGTGTATCCCCTTCTGTAATGTAATTCTAGTTACTTACCCTAACTGCTGAAAAATAGTCATATATATTGGAGGTGGTGTGGGGGTTAAACGGTTAGGGAAGCAGGGAAGAAAGGCTGGCCTTCCCTCTCTTCCAACATCCAATAAAGGGAGCTGCTTTCTGGAGTTCCAGATAGGCACATGTCCTCGAGAGGGCTCTCATGAGAACTAAAAATCACCGGGTAAAAACGGAAAACCTCAGTCCAGAGAGAGCCTTTCCTCAGGACCAGTAGAGCGAGAATCACAGCCTTCAAACAGCTGCAAGCCAAAGTTGCCTGATCAGCCGAAACTGATGAGATGAACGCAACATAAACGTCTTTGTTCAGGTTTTTTCGTCAAAAGTAGTTACGTTGGCATGTGGAAACACACAAATTGTATTTTTTACCAGTGAGGAACACGGTTCTCAAGAAAGACTTCTCTAATCCCTTGGTTCCTCTTTTTTTTTTTCCTTCCTATTTCTTTCCGCGCAACCTTTTGGGTTCCCACTTTAATTACACTTGCTTGCATTTGTTTGAAGGCTGTGATTCTCACCATACCGGTCCTGAGGAAAGGCTCTCTGTGGACTGAGGTTTTCAGTTTTTACCGTAATCTTTAGTTCTCATGAGAGCCCTCTCGAGGACATGTGCCTATCTGGTGCCTCTGCTCTCATCTAGCTGAATAAGAGGAAGTCGATAATTGACTACCATGTCTGGTTCTCATTTATAAGATGTTTTAAGAAAGATTTGAAACACATTTTCTGAAGAAAGCAGAAGGCCTCTTCCCAATATGACTTCGGAAGTCACTTATGCCGAAGTGAGCTTCAACAATGAATCCAAGTCCTCAGGCGTCAACTCTTCTGCAGGTAAAGATCATTTTCTGGGGGGCAGAATGAATGATGAGATGAAGGATGGGGAGAGGGTTTATGAATAAGGCATAGCTGTTGTCAGTTGCTGGTTCTCTGATTATGTCTGGGAAACACAAGAGTCCCAGAAGATCGAGTAGCCTACAGATACACATTACAGGGTGTGCATTTGTATTGTGGGGAAGAAAAGATTCTTCTGCCACTCTCTTTAGCCTCCACTCTGCTTACTATCAACTCCAGTTCTGAGCTAAGGAGTGCTCTGATGCACCTGTGTTTTCTGAGGCTGAGTGGGGCTGGGGTTAAGAGATTGAGGACAGCTTCTGAAACCATCAACTCAGATGCAGGGGGTCTTGATGTATTGGTGAGATTTGTTTTTTGATCAGTTAGAGGGAAAGAGTTTGGGTGGACAGTGGTGACGGTATATTTGTTAGTTTTGGATGGAAATGAAGCAAAAGGCCATTGCAAATGAAAGACTAGAAAGTCTACACAAAGAAAGTCTCTTAAATCTCCAGGGAACTTTTTCTGAAATCAGAAAATCTGTTGCATGTTGCATCTCTGAGACAGACTCTGTTACATTTGGGAGTGGAGGCAAGGTAATTTGGGTGTCGTGTAATATCTCAAGTATAGAGCAAAAGAGAGAAAAGAATGTATACAGAGTAAGAAACTATGGGGGAAAGGTCAGGACTATATTTGTACTTTCTAAAATACATCTGTGAAGGTGTGGAAAGCACATTGGGAATTTTTTTCTCCCTTAAAAACTTTATATAATTTCTTTATTATGTAAGTATTAATGTTCATTATGAAAAAATTAACTAGCAGTACACAGATATTTGAATTATAATTACTCTTATCATCTAGAGAAAATCATAATTTGCATTTTAGTGAATATCCTTCCACATACAAATACATATAATGTGCATATATATTTTACTAAAAATGTAATCATATTATATAATACTGAGGTTTTTCACCCCATCATTTGACAAAATATCATAACTTTAAGAAAGTGATACCTAACCATGAGATGGTAACGAAAAAGACTAACCTTATTCTAAAGATGTGATGAAGGATGATTATAAAGATTTGCTATAGCATTATTTAAGGTTGGAAACAACCTGTTATTTAAATATATGATGAAATACTATGCAACCATAATAAGGAGTGTTAAAGAAGAAAATATAATGGTACGAAAAATGTTCACCATACAGAGTAAAGGAAAATAATAGGTCAGAAATCAGTATTTATGGTATGTCAGTGATGTGGGGAAATTTGCATATATGTATATATACATTCAAAAATTACTAGAATATACCAAAATATGATATATTATAACTTATATGGCATAACAGTTATCCTCAGTTGTAGGAATTTGTACTTTTATGTATTTTCTAAAGTTTCTACAATGAATATGATTATATCCTTTCTATTCCTATTCTCATATGATTTCAAATGTCATACCATTAGTAACTGTGCGTCATCCAAGAAAAGGGAGGGAAAGAGGAGGAGGAAGAAGAGGAAGTAAGGACAGAATTTATTACTGAGAAAACGAATTTGCCTTCTTCTTCAGCTTCCAAGGCAAGGGCTGCCCCTCACAAGAGCAATGCTGGGTTTCCCAAGCTGCTCTGTGCCTCCCTGCTGACGCTGTTCCTGCTAATGGCAATCTCATTCTTCATTGCTTTTGTCAGTAAGTATGCCAACTGAACCACTAAGCAATATCTGCTGTACATGAAGAGAGGGTCTCCTTTAAAAGTTGACATTTGAAAATGAGTTTATTCAGAAATCTGAAATGAAATTTTCTCTGGGGAGACATCATTCATAGAAGTCCATTGTGAATTTTGCTCTAGATTTAGTTACTGTCCTGTAAAAATAATGGAATCCATCATCATTAGAGAAACTGAAGCGTAAATGTGGGTGTATGGATTTGTGTTGTAGAGTGAAATCTATGCGGCATCATCTCTGTACTAGACACTCCGTAAGTAAGGACAAATCTGTATTTCCGTGGTAGTGTTTATCAGACCACTCTGATTTGAATGCACGCTTATGTTTTGGGATCAGCAGGTGGACAGGAAGGAGACGGGAAGTAATATTTCAGGAAGAGTTCTCCACTGACTTTTACTCTAATTATTTCTGTTCTGCTCAAGACTGTGTGGAATCTAAAAGCCAATGCAGCAAAGTAGGCAGATTGCTGCCTCTCTTTGGCTGTCAGCATCTGCTGGGTGTTTTCCCCCGCTCTGTCACCCAGGCTGAAACCTCCACCTCCGGGTTCAAGTGATTCTCCCACCCCTGCCTCCCAAGTAGCTGGGATTACAGGTGTTCATCACCATGCCCAGCTAATTTTTTTTTTGTATTTTTAGTAGAGACAGGATTTTCTCATGTTTCCTGGGTTTGTACTGAACTCCTAGGTTCAAGCAATCTGCCTGCTTCAGCCTCCTAAAGTGCTGGGATTCGCGGTGTGAGCCACCACGCCTGGCCCCAAATTTTTAAAAGGCATAAAAACCAGTATACCTGTCGGTAGATTATTTTTTACTTATTTATTTTTTTGAGACGGAGTTTCGCTCTTGTTACCCAGGCTGGAGTGCAATGGCGCGATCTCAGCTCACCGCTACCTCCGCCTCCTGGGTTCAGGCAATTCTTCTGCCTCAGCCTCCTGAGTAGCTGGGATTACAGGCACGCCCCACCATGCCCAGCTAATGTTTTGTATTTTTAGTAGAGACAGGGTTTCACCATGTTGACCAGGATGGTCTCGATCTCTTGACCTCGTGATCCACCTGCCTTGGCCTCCCAAAGTGTTGGGATTACAGGCTTGAGCCACCGCGCCCGGCCCAGTAGATTCTTTATTCATTCCTTTGGTCATTTCATTGTCTGTCTACTGGATGTCAGGCACTGTGCCAGATAGAGAGTCAAGAAAGCCACAGTCCCTTGTCTCAAGAAATTTAGAGAATGGTCAAATGAACCAGTGGTTATAACACTGTATGGTAAGTGTTGTACAGCTAAGAAGTATAAGTGCAAGAGGCTGAGGTGGGCTTCCTGGAGGAGGTGACATCTAGAGCTGTGTGTACTGAGAGTGACCTAGAGATATGAGACAGCATGGAATTTGGGGAAACATACGTATGCATGACTGGACTGAAACACGAGTATGATGGAACATACAGTGTTAGGAACTAAGAAATGAAGTTGTAGGCGACAGAAATGAACAGGACTCAGCTCATCAAGAGTGCTGTATATCATGATAAAGAGTTTGAGATTATTTTCCCTCCTAAAGGTTATTTTATCAATTATCTTTTGCTGGCTAATAAGATGATCTAAAACGTAGTGGATTAAAATAGCAACTATTTAACTCGTAAATCTGTGGCTTAGCAATTTAGTCTGGTGTCAGTGGGGAGATTCCCCCAGTCCTGGCTGACTCACTCATGTATATGTGGTCAGGTACTGGTCACAGGCAACTTGGCTTCCGAGGAAGAGGATGTTGGCTGGAATGGCAGGAGAGATTTGGCCACATTTTTTTTTTTTTTTTGAGACGGAGTTTCGCTCTAGTTACCCAGGCTGGAGTGCAATGGCGCGATCTCGGCTCACCGCAACCTCCGCCTCCTGGGTTCAGGCAATTCTCCTGCCTCAGCCTCCTGAGTAGCTGGGATTACAGGCACGTGCCACCATACCCAGCTAATTTTTGTATTTTTAGTAGAGACGGGGTTTCACCATGTTGACCAGGATGGTCTTGATCTCTTGACCTCGTGATCCACCTGCCTCGGCCTCCCAAAGTGCTGGGATTACAGGCTTGAGCCACCGTGCCTGGCTACATTTCTCTTATCATTCATCAGGGGAGCCTGGGTTTGTTCACATGGCAAGTGGCAGGCTTTTAAGACTGAGAGCGAAAGGAAGCAAGGCCTTTTGAAGTCTCACCTTGGAACTAGCGCAGAGTTGCTCCTGCACATTCTGTTGGCCGAAAGAAGCCTTCCAGGCAGCCCAGATCCAGGTGGTGGAGAAACAGACCTCATTTCTTGATTGAAGAAGCTGCGAAATCACCTCGTAAAGCAGTGTGGCTACAGGGAGTGTTGACAGTTGTGGCCGTTTTTGCTGTCACAGTCATGAAGAAAATCGAAGAATTTTAAGCAGGGAATTGATAGAATCAGTAGCAGGTTGGGTTTGGAAGATGGTGATTTAAGTTTTGGGCATGTTGAGTTTTATATGACTGTGAGAACCTCGAATGGGCATGTCCACTGGGAGTCTCATTTGTCTGGATTTAGGGAGAGAGGGCTGAGCTTTGGAAGCCCTTCGCATAGAGGCAGTAGGTGATGCCGTGGGAATATATGATATCACTCAGGGAGAGAACTTCGTATAAGAAAGAGGGATAAGGATGGAACTCTGGGAAATGCTGCATTTTAAAGGAGGTGGATGGAGGAAAAGGATCTTATAAAAGAATGTAAGAGGCAGCAGCAAGAAAGGTAAGATGAAAACAGCAAAGAGTAGTGTCCCAAGAGCTAAGTGGGGAGGTAACTGGGGTCAAGCATTTAAGGAAGACAAATAGGAAGGAAGATAATTAAGTAACCCTAGGATATTACTGAAGATCCATTTCAGGGATGGCTTTAGTGAAACAGTGGAAGTATAAACCCCAGAATATGATTGGTTAAGGAACAAATGAAAGGTAGGGAGAAAACAGAAGTTCAGTTTCTAGAGGGAGAGGCGGGTTCATTTTAAACTGAGAGAACGAATTACGTTGGTGTGCTGAGGAGTATGAGCCAGTTGGGATGGAGAGAGTAATGGAAAGACGAGGAAGAAAATAATGTTCTCTTGGCTGGGCGCGGTGGCTCAAGCCTATAATCCCAGCACTTTGGGAGGCTGAGGCGGGTGGATCACGAGGTCGAGAGATCGAGACCATCCTGGTCAACCTGGTGAAACTCCGTCTCTACTAAAAAAATACAAAAAATTAGCTGGGCATGGTGGCACGTGCCTGTAATCCCAGCTACTCAGGAGGCTGAGGCAGGAGAATTGCCTGAACCCAGGAGACGGAGGTTGCGGTGAGCCGAGATCGCGCCATTGCACTCCAGCCTGGGTAACAAGAGCGAGACTCCGTCTCAAAAAAAAAAAAAAAAAAAAAAAAAAAAAGGTAACCCAGAACTCCTCAGAATTAGTTTGCCCCTCTCCCCTCTGCCCCAAAGTCCCAGGGTGTGCACATCCTTCAATACAAGTGTTTATTGCCATCTATCCCACCTCCAAAGAGTTAGCCTTTGTATACATCTTATATTAAGTGCTGAAGGAGAATGTGGAATCTCTTTAGCTCCACTATGATGGAACTGTTGTGTCCTCTTCCAACTACTGATCTTTTAGCTATTCCTAGAGATATCTATAGTTTAAAAATGGGAAATCTTTTCCCTCTGCTCCAGTGATAGGGCATTTGCAGGTTTCGTTTCAATAAAGAATGCAAGAAGGTTACGATAAGGAGCAAAGTAATAATGCTACCAGGAAAAAAAATGCTTTATTCTCTTTTCCAGTTTTCTTTCAAAAATATTCGCAGCTTCTTGAGAAGAAGACTACAAAGGGCCTGGTTCATACGACATTGGAGTGTGTGAAAAAAAATATGACCACGGAAGGTAAAAATTAATATGCCTAGAGTTCAGTTGCTGACTGTACTGTGTAAGGGTCCCAAATCAATATTTCCAATAAAGATTCCAAGGTAGATCATACTGAGAAGTTGAGTCTCACAATAATTCAAGCTACAAATATACAAATATATAGGACATAAAATTCTTTTGTTATTGTTTTTTTGAGACAGGGTCTCACTTTGTTGCTCGGGTTAGAGTGCAGTGGTGCGAACATGGCTGGCTCACTGCAGCCTCAACCTCCTGGGCCTAAGCGATCCTCCCACTTCAGCCTCCTGAGTAGCTGAGACTACAAGCACATGCCATTACATTCAGCTAATTTTTGTATTTTTTGTAGAGATGGGGTTTCGCCATGTTGCCCAGCCTAGTTTTGAACTTCTAAGCTCAAGCGATCTGCCTGTCTCAGTCTCCTGAAGTGCTGGGATTACAGCCATGAGCCACTGTGCCTGGTCGTAAAATTTGTATGTATACTCATATATCTAATTTGCCTATGGAAAAAAAATAGAAGCGTACTTGTGAAAAAGGTTATATTGCTTTTAGACTTCCACGGCCTTTGCTTCTTTCTGAATTTTCTATATACATTTTCTCTTTTTCTCATATATCAATTAAAACCATTGGATGAAAATGTGATGATGGTTTTATTATGGATGCGAATTATTTGAATTTTTTAAATTAATAGATAATTATTATTATTTTTGAGACAGAGTCTCACTCTGTTGCCCAGGCTGGAATACAGTGGTGTGACGGCAGCTCACAATAGCCTGGATCACCTGGGCTCCGGGGAATCCTCCACCTCAGCCTCTCGGTAGCTGGGATCAAAGGTGTGCACCACCACGCTTGGCTACTTTTTTTCTTTTTGAATTTTTGTAGAGAGAGGGTCTTGCCATGTTGCCCAGGCTGGTCTTGAACTCCTGGCTTCTCAGATTTTCCTAATATTTGATGACTTTCACAGTTTTGAGCAGTACTGGTCAGGAATATTAAAGAATGTCCATCCATTAGAATTTGTCTGATGTTTTTCTAATAATTAGACTGGGATTATTGGTTTCTGGGAGGAAGGTTGCAGATGTAAAATGCTATTTTCATTACATCCTATCAAGGGTATGTATTATCAAAATGATTCTACGCCAGGTGTGGTGTCTCACACCTGTAATCCCAGCACTTTGGGAGGCTGAGGAGGGTGGATCACCTGAGTTCAGGAGTTTGAGACCAGCTTGGCCAACATTATGAAATCCCATCTCTACTAACATACAAAAAATTAGCTGGGTGTGGTGGTGGGTGCCTGTAATCCCAGCCATTCAAGAGGCTGAGGCAGGAGAATCTCTTGAACTCAAGAGGCAGAGATTACAGTGGGCTGAGTGTGCGCCATTGCACTCCAGCCTGAGCAACAAGAGCAAGACTCCGTCTCAAAAAAAAAAAAAAAAAAAAAGATTATTGACTATTGACGTTGATCTTGATCACTTGACTAAGGTAGTGTTTATCAAGTTTCTCCACTATAAAATTACTATTTCCCTCTCCCCATCCCTGGCTTTCCATAGTACACTCTTTGGGAGGTATAGCCCACAATTAAGGATTGGGTAATTATGCTCTCCATTCATGAGGGTGGAGTATAGTATCAGTCATGGTCAGCAGGCTGGAGACTCACAGGCTGGAGACTCAGGAGTAAGAGCTGCAGTTTGAGTCCAAAGACCATCTGCTGCAGAATCTTGAAGAGCCAATGCTGCAGATGAAGTCCAAAGGCAGTCTACTGAATTTCTTTTTGCTCAGAGGTCTTCTTTTTGTTCCATTCAGCTCTTCAACTGATTAAATGAAGTCTACTTACATTACTGAGGGCAATCCGCTTTACTCAGAGTCCAGCAATTTAAATGCAAATATCATCCAAAAACATCCTCACAGAAATATCCAGAATGTTTGACCAAATAACTCGGCACTGTGTGCCAGATAAGTTGACACCTAAAATTAACCATCACAAGTATCTACATAATTTATTTGAAATTTTGTTCAGGTGATATTTGTCTCTTTTATTTCATTTATTTATTTATCCAGTCATTTATTTATATCTGCATGTACTCATGGATATATATATATATATATTTTTTTCTTCACATTTTATTTAACGTTCCGGGGTATGTGTGCAGGATGTGCATGTTTGTTTCATTGGTAAACGTGTGCCATGGTGGTTCCTGCACAGATCAACCCATCACCCTGGTATTAAGCCCAGCATCCATTATCTACTATTCCTGATGCCCTCCCTCCCTGTGCCTGCTCCCTCCATCCCAGGCCCCATTGTGTGTTGTTCCCCATCGTATGTCCAACTCATGGATATTTATTTTAAATTTCAGATTACAATCCAATCCTACTTTATTTTGTACTTCCAGCTTTGGACATTGGAAACTCTTTCATTTGACTCCTGTGACCCTTTAACGTATCACCACAATGTGTTTTTTCTTTTGTTTTGGGGTAGCACTTCCTCACTTTCTGGGACTGCAAAATGCTTGAGACTCACATTGTACATTTCATGTCCCTATCCTAAAATCAGATATTTCTTTGAGGAGCCCTAATTCCTTTGATTGAAGAACAGTGTTCTATGAATTTTGATAATTTGTATCGTCATTTTCATTCAGTTCAATGGATTTTAAAAACTTTCCACTTAGACATCTCCTTTGACTGATGGATTATTTAGAAGTGTGTTGTTTAGTTTCAAGTGTATGGAGATTTTCCTATGTTATTTCTTTTGTTAATTAATTAATTAATTAATTAATTTTTTAAAGATGGGGTTTCACCGTGATGGCCAGGCTGGTCTTGAACTGACCTCAGGAGATCCACCCAACTCAGCCTCCCAAAGTGCTAGGATTACAGGCGTGAGCCACCACGCCCGGCTCTTTTATTAATTTCTAGTTTGTTTTCATTGTTGTTGGAGAATATGATATGATTTCAGCAATTTAAAATTTGTTGAGGTTATTTAATGTTCCAGGAAATGGTGGTTTGTTTTAGCATATGTTCCAGGGGCACTGGCAAAGAATGGGTATTTGGTTGTTGGGTGGAATGTGGATTAGATCTATAAATGTGGATTCGATCCTGGTAGTTGATGATGCTTTTAAGTTCTTCTGTGTTCTTGCTGATTTTCTGTGTAGTTCTGTCAGTTTTTAAGAGAGATGTGTTGATGTATCCACCTAAAAGTGTGTATTTGTCAATTCCTCATTTCAGTTGTATCAGTTTTGCTTCACACATTTTGCAGCTTTGTTTGGCCTATACACATTTGGGGTCACTTTACAAGGGTCTGTTTATTTTTCTTTCTGTCTAGTTTTGTGTGTGTGCGTGGTTTTTTTAATTTTTAAAATTTTTTAAATTTTAAGACAGAGTCTTGCTCTGTCACTGAAGCTGGCGTGCAGTGGTGGCATCTTGGCTCACTGCAACCTCTGCCTCCCAGGTTCAAGTGATTCTCCTGCCTCAGCCTCCTGAGTAGCTGCGATTACAAGTGTGGCCACCATGCCCAGCTAATTTTTATATTTTTAGTAGAGATGGTGTGCTGGGATTACAGGTGTGAGCCACCGCGCCCGGCCCATATTTTTCAATTATAAAATTCCCATTTGATTTTTCTTTATATCTTCTGTTTCTTTGCTGAAGCTTTCTAGTTTTTCATTTGTTTCAAGCCTATTTGTATCTCCTTGTTGAAGCATTTTTATCAATGACTGCTTTAAAATCTTTTGTCAGATAATTCTAACACTTTTGTTGTCTTGATTATTATTTTTTATTAAATTAGAAAACTTACTGGTTCTTAGTATAATGAGTTATTTTCGATTGCACTCTGGACATTTTTGCATTATATTCTCAGAGTCTGGATCCTATTTAAACATGTTTTATTAATAGCTGGCCTTTTCAGATACCACGTCAGCAGGAGAAAAGGGGCCCTGCCTCCTCATTACTGCCTGATTGAGGTAGACTTGGCTTCCTTGACACCTGAGGGGCGGGAGCTCTTGGTTACATCGGAGTGGAGATGGGAGTTCCAGCTTCTATGTGGTCTCCCGTGGCTCTTAATTGTAATAATCCACACACTTTTAAAAGCATTATTTATATTGCACTCTAGGGAAGAATATGTGTCCCTCTTCCCAATACAGAGACAGCCTGGAACTGTTGCCCAAAGAACTGGAAGTCGTTTAGTTCCAGCTGCTACTTCATTTCTACGGAATCAGCAACTTGGCAAGAGAGTGAGAATAAGTGCGTTAGAATGGCGGCTCACCTGCTGGTGATAAACACTCAGGAAGAGCAGGTACTTCCTAATAGATAACCGGGCTGTGAGCCCTGCCTGATCTTTGTGTATCTCTCTTGGCTAAGAAGGAGGTTTTTGTTATTTTGGAATGTTTGTGCTGTGGCAGAAGGCTTTCAATAAAACAGAAAGGGCTCCTACACTTTTTTTTTTTTTTTTTTTTTTTTGAGACGGAGTTTCGCTCTTGTTACCCAGGCTGGAGTGCAATGGCGCGATCTCGGCCCACCACAACCTCCGTCTCCTGGGTTCAGGCAATTCTCCTGCCTCAGCCTCCTGAGTAGCTGGGATTACAGGCACGTGCCACCATGCCCAGCTAATGTTTTGTACTTTTAGTAGAGATGGGGTTTCACCATGTTGACCAGGATGGTCTCGATCTCTTGACCTCGTGATCCACCCGCCTCGGCCTCCCAAAGTGTGAATGTTTTATACATGATTAACTGCTTAGCAGAGAAGAGGTATTAAATTGAATAGAGAAAATAAATAAAGTTAAATAATGATGAATCACAACATTCAGGAATGAAATTAAAGAATCTCTGAAGTTATGAAAGGAAAATGACTGAATCTGCCAAAGTTTTCTCATGGATAACTTTGAAGAATGTAATCTCTTAGTGAAGAAAAGACGGGAAGTAAACCTGAGATGAGAATTCATTTTGATCATAGAAATTGCTTCCATACTGGTTGGGCGTGAGCCTGTAATCCCAGCACTTTGGGAGGCCGAGGCTGGCAGATCACTTGAGGCTGGGAGTTCAAGACCAGCTTGGCCAACATGGTGAAACCCCACCTCTACTAAAACTACAAAATTAACCAGGCCTTATGGCACACACCTGTAGTGCCAGCTCCTGGGGAGGCTGAGGCATGAGAATTGCTTGAGCCTGGGAGGCACAGGCGCGGTGAGCCGAGATCATGCCACTGTACACCAGCCTGGGCGAGAGTGTGAGACTTCTGTCTCAAAAAAAAAAAAAAAAAAAAAAAAAAAAAAGACATTGCTTCCATATATCCTGAACATCATGCTCACAAATGATGTCTTTGATTCTGCCCTGCTCAGCCAGAGACCTGAATTCCTATTCCTATGTAGAGCTCCCATGTGGCTATTGCTTGATCCTCTCCTTTTCTTCTCATTTCTCTAAGGTGTTTTTTTTTTTTTTTTTTTGAGACAGAGTCTTGTTCTGTCGCCATGCGCCAGGCTGGAGTGCAGTGGTGTGATATCTGGTTACTGCAACCTCTGTCCCGTGTTCAAGCAATTCTCCTGCCTCAGCCTCCTGAGTAGCTGGGACTACAGGCGCGGCAGCACGCCCAGCTAATTTTTGTATTTTTAGTAGAGACAGGGATTTCACCATGTTGGTCAGGATGGTCTCCATCTCTTGACCTCGTGATCTGCCCACCTCGGCCTCCCAAAGTGCTGGGATTACAGGCAGTGAACCCCCGTGCCCGGCCTAAGGTATTAAGAATTCAGTTCAAGCTGAGTACTCTAAAGGTTGTGACTCCTTTTTTTCCCCACCCCTCAGAAGTTCATCATCCGGAATCTGGAACAAAATTCTGCTTATTTTGTGGGACTCTCAGATCCAGAAGGTCAGCGACGTTGGCAATGGGTTGATCAGACACCATACAACGAAAGTGCCACGTGAGTATAGAATGAGATGAAAGAATCTTTTGTCCTGGATCATGCAGAGAGCTTAGGGCATTCTAGCTATCAGATATAAAATTAGAACAGCTCACTCTTCTTTTAGCTCTTGGGCACTAGGTTAAATAATTTCATTATGTCATTTAATTTGTACAAGAACCCTATGAAGCACACATTTTTCCCACTGTAGATATGAGGAAATTGAGCTTGGGTCACCTAGTGGTGTCAAAAATAGTTCTCAAATCAAGGAGGATCTTCCTGTTTGTAACCAACAAGTATATTTACCTCTCTCGACATAGTGAAAATCCATGTTGATTAAGACCATAACCAATTATTAAGATTTAATATTTCTTTTTTTGGGGACAGAGCCTTACTCTGTCACCCAGGCTGAGGGCAGAGGTGCAATCATGACTCACTGCAGCCTTGAACTTCCAGGCTCAAGTGATCCTCCCACCTAAGCCTTTTCAGTTGCTGGCATGACAAGTGTGTGCCACCACACCCAATCAGGTTAAAGATTTCTTATTTCTTATGAAGCAAAAATGCTAAATTCTGATACTCTTGTATCTCATATTTATGTAATTCTTTAAAAACTCAAGTACTTTACTGGATTACCACTTTTGATCCCATATCCACTGTGTGAAATATATAGTGATATTACTCTAGTTTCCAGTTTTTAGATAGAAAAACTGAGAATCGCCGGGCGCGGTGGTTCAAGCCTGTAATCCCAGCACTTTGGGAGGCCGAGGCGGGTGGATCACGAGGTCAAGACATCAAGACCATCCTGGTCAACATGGTGAAACCCCGTCTCTACTAAAAATACAAGAAATTAGCTGGGCATGGTGGCGCATGCCTGTAATCCCAGCTACTCCGGAGGCTGAGGCAGGAGAATTGCCTGAACCCAGGAGGCGGAGGTTGCGGTGAGCCGAGATCGCGCCATTGCACTCCAGCCTGGGTAACAAGAGCGAAACTCCGTCTCAAAAAAAAAAAAAAATAAATAAAAATAAAAAAGAAAACCTGAGAATCTGAGAATCAGGGAAATTAAATTACTTATCCGGTAAGAGGGATAAGTAGAAGTAGAAGTTCCAAAAGATTTTACTAGTTGTAGTCTAGAGAGACTTTAAAAACAGTGCACTAAAAAAAGGAAAAGGAAAAAACTATACTGACAAGTGGGATCAGGGTGAAATCTTTTCATCATGTGAGAACACCCTGTAGGTTGACGGACCCATAGAAAAAGGACATAAGGATGGACAAATAGAAGAGAATCTCTAGAAAATCTGCTGTGAGGATATTCAGCGTAGTAAGATAGAGAACACTGAGAGATGTAGGCAGTTTTCAGGGAAAATGCCAGAAGTGAAACTGGATGATGAGTGGCTGAAAGGTGGATTTGGGCATATCTGACCCCAAGTGCCATGAAGTTCACCCCCAGCTCCTCGCCCCTGTCTTTAACCCTTTTCGATGCTCTGTTGGAAGAAATGTCCTTATCCTTTTTGCCCTTTTCAGATTCTGGCATGAAGGTGAGCCCAGTCATACGAGTGAGCGCTGTGTTTTGGTAAATTTTCGTTATTTCAGAGGCTGGGGCTGGAATGACGTTCCTTGTTATGATCGTCAAAGGTCAGTCTGTGAGATGATGACGATCCACTTATGAACTGAACATTCTCCGTGAACAGGTGGTTGGATTGGCACCTGTCATTATAGGGATAGATAGTAAGCTCTTCTTATTTATGTATAAGGGAGGTCCATAGAATGTAGGTGGGCTGTCAACTATTCTACTTACGAGAGAATTGGTCTGTACATTGATTGATTCACTGTTTCATAAAATGAGCATTGATTGAGCATTTTTTCATGTGCCAGAGACTGTACTGGAGACCCCTATTGTGCACACATGGAGAGAACATGAGTCTCTCTCAATTTTTGTCTGGTTGCTAAAGAATTATTTACCAATAAAATTATAGGATGTGGTTTCTCCTCCTATTTGTTTTTCTCTTCATCCCTGTTATATTGATGTATAATTGACAAATAAAATTGTATATATTTTACATTTACATATATTGTGAAATGATTATCATCAAGTTGGTAAACCCACATCACTCTCTTAAAACATTATGAGATTTTTTTTTAGCTCATTAGCTGTTGTTCATGTTAGTGTTCTTTATGTGTGGCCCAAGACAATTCTTCTTCCAGTGTGGCTCAGAGAAGTCAAAAGCCTGGACACCCCATCTTACATGTTTTGGATATTAACCCCTTGTCAGATACATAGTTTGCAAATGTTTTCTCTCATTCTGTAGGCTGCTCTTTCATTTTTTGATTGTTCCCACTGCTATGCAGAAGCTTTTTATTTTGATGCAATCCCATTTGTCTATTTCTGCTTTTGGTTCTGGTTTTTTTTTTTTGAGACGGAGTTTCGCTCTTGTTACCCAGGCTGGAGTGCAATGACACGATCTCGGCTCACCGCAACCTCCGCCTCCTCGGTTCAGGCAATTCTCCTGCCTCAGCCTCCCGAGTAGCTGGGATTACAGGCACGCGCCACCATGCCCAGCTACTTTTTTTTTGTATTTTTAGTAGAGACGGGGTTTCACCATGTTGACCAGGATGGTCTCGATCTCTTGACCTCGTGATCCACCCGCCTCGGCCTCCCAAAGTGCTGGGATTACAGGCTTGAGCCACCGTGCCAGTTTTCTTTTTTTTTTTTTTTAATGAAGTTGAATATTTTACTTCTTATTTTGCTGCAAAGCTGTTGCTTCACTGTATAAAACTATCACCAGCAAATGTACTAGCTTGCAAAATTAAGATAGTGCTGTTCTTCATCTGACACTGTACATCCATCAACAAAATGTTCTCCACTCCCAATTACTTCCAATGAAAGATGATTAAGTATTTTGAACCAAATCCAGATATAGATGTAAGCAAGTGGCAATATTGCATAAGGCTTAACACAACAATGTTAGCCTTGAATTACATAATATTAATAACTAGGTTTTACCATGGATAATTTCATGAATTCTGAATACTAGAGCCTACTCTAAAAATCATAGGGTATTGTGAAAAAGAAGCATATTTTATCTGCAATAATTAGAAAAATTTTTTTGTTTTTTGAGACAGAGTCTTGCTCTGTTGCCCTGGCTGGAGTGCAGCAGCATGATCTTGGCTCACCGCAACCTCCGCCTCCCGGGTTCAAGTGATTCTTCTGCCTCAGACTCACAAGTAGCTGGGATTACAGGCACATGCCACCATGCCAGGCTGATTTTTATATTTTAATAGAGATGAGGTTTCACCATGTTGGCCAGGCTGGTCTCGAATTCCTGCCCTCAGGTAATGTGCCAGCCTTGGCCTTCTAAAGTTCTGGGATTACAGCCATGAGCTGTACTTCATCTAGTTCTGAAGGGTTACTGAGTATCAACATGATCAGTCAATCATCTTCATAAAAAGATTTGTTGACAACTCTGGATTTTCTTCAAGGGATTCATTAATTTCAGTTACTTTTCCTGATTAAGGAGTAAAGAGTTCATTAGTAGCTCTCATACTTTCCAAAGCACCAAACTCATCTTGTTTGTTCAATTTTGCCCCAACTTCAGGGTGACTGCAGTAAACAACAGCTCTCAAAGATTCCTGTGCAAAATCGCTGATTCCCGCTGTTCCAATACCATTTTCTGTTATTATGCATCCACATTTCTCTGTGAATTTATGCACTGAAAGCAGAACGTGTTTGGAAGGCACCCTCCCTCAGCCACCAGAGCCTCTGCAGGCAGGGTGCAGCAGGCACCGCGGGTGCGTGCAGGCTGCAGACCTCTGCCTGCAAACTCCATGCCACTCTCAGTGCCATGTTCACAGGAGCTTTTCTTCTTACAGCTATTAAAAAAATCATTGCCCAGGCAGATATCAAGTGGCTTTTTTCCTATTTTTCTTTCTATGAATTTTGTGGTTTTGGGCCTTACATTTAAGTCTTTAGTACATTTTAATTTTCATGAGTGGTGTAAGGTAAGGTTTCGATTTCATTCTTTTGCATGTGGATATTCAGTTTTCCTAACACTATTAATTGAGGGAACGGTCCTTTTTAATTTTGTATTCATTCTTGGCATGCTTGTCGAATATTAGTGGACCATATACCTGGGAGTTTATTTTAAAATTATTACCAAATAATCACTTAAAATCATAAAGTCACATACACTCGTATGTTCATTGCAGCACTATTCACAATAGCATAGACATGGAATCAACCTAGATGCCCATCAACCGTGGGCTGAATTTTAAAAAATGTGGTACATATACACCATGGGATACTACACAGCCATAAAAATGAAAATAGTTAAAATAATGAACCATTTTAATTATTAGGAAATGACTTTAGCCAGGCGTAGTGACTCACGCCTGTAATCCCAGCACTTTGGGAGGCCGAGGCGGGTGGATCACGAGGTCAAGAGATCGAGACCATCCTGGTCAACATGGTGAAACCCCGTCTCTACTAAAAATACAAAAAATTAGCTGGGTGTGGTGGGGCATGCCTGTAATCCCAGCTACTCAGAAGGCTGAGACAGGAGAATTGCGTGAACCTGGGAGTTGGAGGTTGCAGTGAGCTGAGATTGCGCCATTGCAGTCCAGCTTGGGGGACAGTGCGAGACTTCATCTCAAAAAAATAAAATAAAATAAAAAAATAACTTTATTAAATAATTATTTCAAATAATTATTAATTATTTAAAACATTTCCAAAACTTTCAAAAAGAATACACAACTTAGGTATAAATGTAACCAAAGAAGTAAAAAATCAGTACGCTGAAAATTATAAAACATTGGTGAAGGAAATTTAAGACACGAAGCAATGAAAAGAGATCCCATGTTTATGTAGTGAAAGAATTAATGTGACAATGTTCATACTGAAGAAATATTAGCAAGCTAATTTACACTAGAAGCCTTTAGTGCTCATCCCACACAAGGACAGCTAAAAGTATGACTGAAAAATTACATCTTGATGAGAATAACTAAAGGAGGGCACAAGAGTACAACAAAGGAGAAGCAGAAACTCTGCAGAGCATAGAAACCCAGAATGGCCTTATAGAGAATGCCCCCAGTTAGGATCAAGTCAGAACCAGGTAAGACTTCTCACTGCAGAAAAAAGGTAAGTAAACTCTCTGCAGCCTCTGTCACCGCACTGGATGCCTATAGTTCTCACCACTGAAAACTGCACTTGCCATAGGTGCAAAGCCCACCCCAGGGAGCTTCTTGGGGTCCACATGACTATGCTCCTCCCAGAGGAGTTGGCACTGTGCCCCATTCATCATGGCTGATGGGGCTACTGTACTGCAGCATCTTGGACCCGGAACCACTGCTAGAGGGTGTCCTGCTCTATATGTGAGAAGCTATGGCACACTTCTAGCTCTGAGACTTTGTTGCCATGGAACCACCCCAGTTTGGTGCAATACCATCCCTGAGCTGGGCTGCTGTGGGACTACCCTGTGGCAGAGTGGCATTATCTTAGCTGCCCAGAGGAATCATGCTCCTGAGTCTACTCTGCAGTGGCACTCTGCTTCCTAGGGAATTAGTGCCTTGGTCAACCAGAGCAGTCATGGCCCGTGGGCCAGTACTGAAACAATATATTACCTCTTGGGGAATTGGTATTTTGGCTGAGGCATGTACAGCCATCACTGCATATATACCACTGAATCTATTAGGAAGTAGAGCCACCACACCTGTCCCAATGGGTACCCTAAGACCCATCTGCAGGTGAAAGCCTTTCCTGTTAAAGCCACTCTGTAACGTTCAGAGGTGCTGAATGATCCACCAGACATGCAGACATCAAAATAGGGATAGAAGAAACACGAAAAAGCTCAAAACACAATAACTCTTTAGTAACTAACACCAAAGAATAGACAAAGCAGACAGCCTACAGAATGGGAGAAAACATTTGCCAACCATACATCCGACAAAGGTCTAATATGCATAATCTGTAAGGAACTTAATTTCAACAAACATAAAACAAATCCTATTAAAATGGGCAAAAAGCATGAAGAGACATTTCTCAAAAGAAGACATGCATGTAGCCAAGAAACGTATGAAAAAAATGCACATCATCACTAATCGTTAGAGAAGTGCAAATCAAAACCACAGTGAGAGATCATCTCACACCAGTCAGAACGGCTGTTACTAAAAAGACAAAAAACAACCGATGCTGTTGAATGAGGCTGTGGAGAAAAGGAAACGTTCTACTGGTGGAAATGTAAATTAGTTCAGCCTCTGGGGAAAGCAGTTTGGAGATTTCTCAAAGAAGTTAAAACTACTTTTCAACCTAGTAAGCCCATTACTGGGTATATACCCAAGAGAAAATAAATCGTTCTATCGTAAAGTCACATGCGCTCATATGTTCATTGCAGCACTATTCACAATAGCATAGACTTGGAATCAACCTAGATGCCCATCAACCGTGGGCTGAATTTAAAAAAAAATGTGGTACATATACACCATGGGATACTACACAGCCATAAAAATGAAATCACGTCCTTTTCAGCAACAAGAACGCAGCTGGAGGTCATTATCCTAAATGAATTAACACAGGAACAAGACTCTAAATTCTTCAGGTTTTTACTTAAAAGTGGGAGTGAAACACTGAGTATACACTGATAATAAAGATGAGAACAAGAGACACTGGGGACTACTAGAGCGGGGAGATTGGGAGGGCAGCAGGATTGAAAACATACCTGTTGGGTACTACACTCACCACTAGGGTAACGAGATCATTCTTACATTAAAAACCTCAGCAACACACAATATTCACTCACGTAACAAACCTGCACGTGCACTTTGGAACCGAAAATAAAAGTGGAAAACGGAGAAAAAAATTACAATAAAAAAGAGAGAATGAAATCATGGCCTTTGCAGCAACGTAGATGCAGGTGGAGGCCGTTATCCTAGTGATTAATTCAGAAACAGAAAACCAAATACCTCATGTTCTTACGTGTAAGAAAGAGATAAACA